TATTTCTATTTATAATTATAGTTATAATTACATTTATATAAATAAATATTATAATTTTAATTACAATAATAATTATATAAGTAATTATAATTAAAGATATAATTACATTTACAATTGTATCTATAGTTATAATTAGTTTAATTGGTATAATTATTATAATTTTAAATTTAATTTTAATTATTACTATATTTTTTATAATTATGATGATAATTATAATTTTATTTAAGTTAAATTTGTAATTACAATTATAATAATTATGATTATAATTATAATTATAATTATAGAAGGGGTTTTGGCACAAATATTACTAAAAAATAGGTAATGAACAAAAAAAGTGACCTTTTTTCTTAATTTCCAATAATGAGACTAATAAAGATTTTCCTCACCAATTTACCCTTCGTACGCCTGGAGCACCGTACCATTCCAGCGCATGGAAGTGATGGAACTTGCTAATTGCACACGGTAACTCTCACAAGCACAACTAATGTTTTGTTTTTTATTTAAAATTTTTTTAATGCATTCCGTTAGTGGCTTTTTTTAATATTCCGTTATAATAATGACTATAATATTATTTTAATATTTTAATAAGTAGTATTATTTCTAAATACAAATACATACTTACAAAGTATTAAGATATGAAAATTGATAGACAACTATCTCAATGACCAACAACCCGATTACTACTACTTCCGCTCAAATAACAACCGTTCCAATTATTATCTGTCCAGTGTCATCGCCGCAATCATTATCGCTCAAGTGATCATCGTCTCAGTTACTAATATATTCATAAGAGACCAAAAATCTATCAGTGACAAAAAAATGACAGTGACAAAGAAAACTTTCAGTGACCCGTCCCACCAGTTACCTGCAATCCCCAATTACAGTTACCCGATTCGTTAGTTACAACTTACAATTACCCTACTCGTCAGTTACAGTTACCCGATCTGATTCGTCGGTTACAGTTACCAGACCCGACCAGTTACAGTTACTTGATTTGAGTAATTACAGTTACTCGACCCAGTGACCAACGTCCTCCCGTCCAGTGACCAACTTCCACCGGTCCAGTTACAAACTTCCGCCCGTCTAGTGACCAACTTCCGTCCGTCTAGTGACCAACGTCCGCGCGTCCAGTGACCAATGTCCGTCCATCCAGTGACCAATGTCCGCCCATCCAGTGATCAACAGTGACTTGACCCGTTAGTTACAGTTACGTGATTCGTCAATTATAATTATCCAACCCGCGAGTTACCGTTGACCAATTATTTGTGGAGTTATAGTTATCCGAGACCAATTAAATTCACCCAGTCTAACCATTTACAATGACAACCACACTCATCCACCGCCAAATCCGCCAATGGCATTGACGACCACCTTCGGCCACCATCTTCGGACTTGACAACCACTGTCGAACATCACCACCGGCAGGAGGCAGCCGTCGCCACTGTACTCCAATGGCAAATCGTCACCTACAGTTGGCCAATGACCTGTCACGGCTATCAGTAGCCCCGCCATCCTCCAGTAACCAAGTGCCCCTCTCCCACGGCTAGCCTCCCGCATCCCCACCCCTCCATCCCTCCTATCCTACTATACCCCCATCTCCATCTCTAGCCCCTCCCCAAGCACTCGCCACCGCTTTACCAACCCATAGACCCTAGCCACTTCCATTTGCCACGGCCGCCATGGTCCACCCTGAAACCCTAGTGTTGTCACTGGATTGCCGCCCACTACCCGGCCATACCCACTGTGGTGGTTCGAAATCCATGTTGCCGCTCGATCCCAACAGGAAACGCCGCCGCAGAATAGATCTGTTACTTCCGTCGAAGATGACTGTCTCCACCGCTATGGAGGTCACCTCTCGCCACCGCCATGGAGGTCGCCTCTCGCCGCCGTCATGGAGGTCGCCTCTCGCCGCTGCCATGGAGGTCTTCTGTCACTGATGCCATGGAGGTTGCATGTCGCCGCCGCCATGAAGGTTGTCACCTATCTCCGATGCAGTGAACTCGTCGGTGAAGGTTTGTCGCCATGAAGGCACTGGTGCGAGCTTTGGGAGCAAATAAATTGAAATTGTGACGGATCGGAGACCGTCAAGAGGATAGAGTGGCTGCTGCGGTGTTAATTTAAATCCGGGGCACTTTGGTCTATACATTCATTATTAATCTCTTTTTTGTCCCGATCACAACCTAGTCCTATATTTGTCCTATAACTCGGATGTATCATCCGCGTCATTTTTTCATTATAGAAATATTCAAATCCGATTAGATCAGAAGAATTCAGATCAGATAAAAAACATTCAGATCAGATCATACCAGATCAAAAAAAATCAGATCAGATCAGAAAGATTCAGATCAGAAAATTTCAGATCTGATCTGATCAGATCAGAACTTAAAAAATTCAGATCAGAAATATTGAGATCAGGTGAAGAGAACAACTTCTAAGTTGGAAGACGAGAAGAAAGCTTAGAGGATGCCGTAGGTTAGAGATTGTTGAGTTTAATCCAACACGATATAATAAATATATGTATAAATGGGTATGAAACTCGGTTTTTACGTGGAAACCCGAAAGGGAGAAAACCACGGGACTTTTTAGGCTAATGTCCAAGTCCTCTCTTTCTCATTAGGACCCTCCTCCTCTCTAGAATAGATTAGCTAGCTTTATCCTCCATTAATGGGAGCTTGAATACATGTACTTTGTAATGGTGCCACAGACGGCGCCAGTGTTGGGTTTAATCCAACACGATATAGTAAATATATGTATAAATGTGTATGAACAAGCTATTTTTTACGTGGAAACCCGAAAGGGAGAAAACCACGAGACTTTTTAGGCTAATGTCCAAGCCCTCTCGATCTCATTAAGACTCTCCTCAACATTACAATGTACAAGCTCCCATTAATGGAGGATAAAGCTAGCTAATCTATTCTCGAGAGAAGGGGGAGAAATGGGGAAGAAGAGACCAACCAAAAAAGAATCCCTAAACATGTGGGAAAGCCCCATATTTATAGGGGAAAGGGAGTAGGGAATAAGTCTACCCTAATGGGCCAAGTAGCCCAAAATGGGCCCAAAGGGCCGAAACATGCCTGATAGGCTAAAACGGGCCTCACAGACTGGGCTCCGTACTATGTAAAGTCTTGGGCTCCTGAACAGTAACGGACCGGGATAATATATCTCAACAGAGATGAAGAATAAAGGAGTGTTTGCGGATGCTTAAAAAAAGGGCTTTTTAGCTTTTGGCTTTAAAAAAAGTTGAAAAGAGTGTTTTCAAATGAGAGCTTCTGCTTAAATTAATCACTTACAATTTAAAAGCTGGAAGCAGGTAGAAGGGTGCTTTAAACTGCTTTTCACTTTTTCTATTACACAAAAGTACTTAATTTACCAAACACTACCAACTTTTACTTTTTCAGAATCACTTTTTTCTCAAACACTACCAACTTTTACTATTAATCACTTTTCCCAAAATCACTTCAAAAATCACTTTTTGAAAGTTGAAGCAATTGCAAACACTCCCTAAGACGAAGCTGAACTTTTTTTTAAAAAAAGCTAGGAAGAAAAGTGACACATAGGCAGCCACATAATTGAGTTACGGGAAGATCGGCTCGTCACGATCTAAACGACACAATTGAGTGTTTTTTAATACTTGAGGGGTTTGATTTAGGGTTTCCAAAGTACAAGGGCTTAATTGCTGTTTTGTATAAAGTAAGAGGGTGTATTTGATAGTTTTCCTTTTTAACTATGTCATTATGCACAGTATTAGTTCGGTAAAATCGGAATCGCCTCATGCTAAGAAAAAAGGTAGATTCTATGGTACCCATTCGGTACCATACCTTTGTACACATGGACCAATCAGAATGTTGCAGTTGAATTATTTAAATCTAAATTAAAAATGAAATACCCATTTGGACCAATCGAATGGATGATAGGTACGGTACCCTAATTTGATTGAATATGCTAAAATTGATAAAATTGCATTTGACGTAGATGAAATGGCTGAATACGCTAAAATTGATGAATTTCAAACTCCTTGAATTGATTGAGTTTGCTAAATTGGGTGTTCAGTAAATTCAATAAAATAAGATTGTAAAGTATATACGTAGTATATATTATTAATAAAGAAAAATAAGATGAAAATAGTTATAAACTTATAATACTTATTTCAACAACATCAATCAATCAATTCAGCAACTTCAATCTTATTTAATTTGAATATTACTATCGATAATTTCAAAAGTTTCATGTAGGTCAAAATGAAATCCGGGGAAACACCAAATGGCTGAGAGTGTATGTATTACGTAGTAATAATTTGAATTTACTCGAACGAATGTCCTTTGATTTAATAAAAAAGATATAGGGTATGTTCGGCTAAGTGACATTTCAGCCAAAAAACCTCATTCAATTGAAAACATAAAACACTGCAACATGCAGCAGATAAGAGGCTAAAACGTCAAAATCCAAACAAGCCCATACACCATACTTAACTCTTGGCTTGAGTTGGGTTTTTCGTATACCACCTACTTTGATAGTGAGTTGAATTTTACTTCGCACAAGTAATTAACCCATGTGTTGGCATAGTTGGTGATTATTCCTAATTAGATACTGTCCAAATAATTACAACTCCTATTTAGAACACAACTATTAAATGCCCGTTTAGGATTCATGTGTTGAGATTGATGAAATTGTAACTAAAGCGAATGAGTGGCTGAATATGCTAAAATCGATGAAAGCACGACTCAAGTGTTTGAGTTGATTAGTTTACTAAATTAGGTGCATTCAATAAATTCATTAAAATAAAGGCTATTAAAAATATATATCATTAATAAAGAAAAAATTATAATAAACAGTTCATATAGCCATCTTCAACAAAATCAATCATTTCAATAACTTCAATCTTTTTTATTATGAATAATATATAATTAGTGAAAAACTAATTATATATAATATATAATTAGTGAAAAACTAATCTTTTCACTAATAATATATAATTAGTGAAATAAAATGTTACACATTAGTGAAAAACTTAAAATGGAAATCATTAGAAATCAAACTGCTCACAGTTTGGAATCCAGGGAAACACCAAATAGATACGGCCATACGGGTGTGTAGTAATAATTTGACTATCCTTTCAAAGAAAAAATTAATTTACATGAACAAATGTTAATTGAATTAAAAGAATACGACATAAAAAGAACAAAATAATTCAATGAATAAAAACTAAATGCAGATTATGCATTACACCTAGAAAGATGAGGAAGTTCAGTCCAAACACAGTGAACAATTCCTCTTGTGTTGTAATAATTCTCACTTGAAAAAGTCTTGGGAAAGTTGTGCCACTTCTTGGATGCAAGGCAATAAAACAACCCTTTACCGTCGTAGAACCTTGGAAAGAAGATCTTGTTTCCTGTCCCGCTAACGGTTGTTTTCCGTGATATGGATGTTCTGTGAGAAACGTAAAATGATTTCCCATTCAGATTCTCTATCTTCCGCCAAATGTTATTATAATCATCGAACCTCAACACCCGAACTTCCCCGCCCTCAAGAGTTGCAACACATATTAAATTGCCGTCACTCTCCAAGAGAAACCGATCTTGAAATTTTAAAAACTGGTTTTTATTATGCTTGCCAATGATCTTCCAGTCACACAGTTCCTCCAACCCCTTGGAGGTAAGACAAAACTTTCCTAGATTTCCAGATTCCCCTAGAACATATATGAATCCATTGCGCACAACAGGGGAGCAATTGGAACCAAAAAAATTGTTTCCTACATTCTGAGGGAAACACATTGACCAACGTGTCTCACCCAATTTTAACGTTGCAATTAAAGTGATAGATGTATGGCAGCTATAAATGCCATATACACACCAGGCAGATGTTGGTGATCCAGAAAAACATGCCCACTCCAACGGTTCTAACGTGTCAGGGAGGTCTATTTTAACCTTGGTTGATGGGTTATAGAAAAAATACGACTGCCTACCTTTACCAAGAAGCAACCAGCCACGACTTGCGTAAAAAAGTTCAACTTCACCAATTTCATCATCCAACAAGGGAGGAATGCTAAGTGAATAAGTGGCATTACGTGTTGGATCGTGGAAGTTGAAGAAGCCGGTTTTGCTGGTGAAGTACAGGAGATACGGGTCATGGTATGAGTCCTTATCATGCGGGCAGTGATCAAGTAATGACATTGATGATGAAAGAGGAGGCAGAGTTACTGCTTCCCATGATTTACATACTGACTTGAAAGTAAGATAGTCTCCGATGGCTAAACGTGAGAGTATGGAAGACAAGAGGTCCTCGCACAGATCCGACCACTCCCTCTGTTTCTCATCATCAGCTTCATCATCCTTATTGCTAATTCTGTTGCTACTAATCATCATTATCTTTCACTTTACTCGACTTCTATGATCTCTTCCAACAGCCTACAATGTAACTCCCTGCAAAAAACAAAAGCAATGGGTGGGTAAAAAGAATTTATTTCCCAACTGATATTCAATTCAAAGGGTTTTGGCTATGGCCATTGTTTCCCGTTATCTATCAAAGAGTCTTTTCAGCCTAGGCCGTCTAGATCATAAAAAAACTAAAAGTATAACCTACTTAAAGAAAATCATGAGCAAATAATTTGACTATGACTTTAATTTTAACATATATAGGTAGTACTATACATCTTCCAACTTTTTAAAATTATGGTTTTGATTAACTGAAACACTCCATGAATTCTTTGAAAACACTTCTGAACCTTGAACCTTCTAATATCATGATACTTAGAATTATTTACGTAAACTTTTAAATTTTTTCGAAATTGGAAACCAAATGTGTGACCTTTTGTTCTCTGGTCCAAACTCCAAAGCTTGAATTTCTCATCCCTCACGCCCGTTTGAAGAATAGATTGATTGAATATATAAAAGACCCCTATGCATGTGTTTGTCATATATTTATTTAAAATTAAATGTTTAAATATCACAAAAACGCAATACTTGAATAAAAGTCTTAAAACATACTTTAGTGAAATCCTTAACTTTATATATTCGTAATTTTCTCTACAAAATACAAAACATACTCCTCTCCGTCCCTTAAAACTTTGCCAAATTTGACCGGCACGGGGACTAATAAAGTAAAAACTGTGTGATTGAGGTTTGTGCAGACTACTGAGAAGAGAGAATTGACTGGAACCACAAATTCTTTACTAAAAGTGGAAAATAGCAAAGTTAGTGGGACAACCAAAAAAGGAAAGATGGCAAATTTTTAAGGGAGGGGGGAGTGTAATTTAATTCATTGTGAAATAAAAATTCCATAATTTTCAATATTAACAACTCTAAATAAAAAACAAACAAGCATCAACTTGCCTTGAATTTTAAATAGCAATTGTTTACGCAAAGAAAAAATTCCAGTAATATTACTACTGGACAAAAATATTACTAGTTTTCTACAGTGTTCTAAAAGGCTTGTAAAGGCGCCGCCTAGGCGGGCCTGGGCTTGATGCGCCAGCAAAACGCCTCGCCTATCCAATAGGCGTGGAGAAAGGCATTTAATCAGGTGTATAGGCTAAATTTCTAATTCCATCAAGGAATCTTTGCCATCTCAACACGTTACTGAGAATTGCGAACCTACTCCGTGTCTTATATAGAGTTTTCGGAAGGAGGGATGCGCTTATTCATCCGGTGTGGGAGATTTGATTTTGAAGTACGGAATACATAATGCATAGGCATTCGTCCGGTGTGGGAATTTTGATTTTGAAGTACGGAGTATACAAATATACAATACATAGGCATATTATATGAGGCCTGCCTTCAGAGAGATTCGAAGTCAGCACGTCAGGTTAACAACTTTACATCAAAACATTAGGTTGCATCAATTGCATTGCCAACTCATATGGACTTAGAATTGTTTTAAATATCCTAATTCAGTCAATCTTCTTTATTGTAACTATTATAACTGTTATATAACTATTGGAGTACTATTTTATAAACCAACTTCTTTAATTCGTGTTATTGTATAATAAGTAAACCATAAAACTATTATTTGTGGTTTTGAGAAAATTACTTCTATTGAAATAAAATATCCTAAAATCTTAATAATAAAAAAATATGGACAAAAATGTAAGTCGGTAACTACTCCGTATTTGTTAGTGACTTGAGTGTTCAAATTTAGATCGTAGTGACTACACATGTAGTCTTAGCAATGTAATTTTGAATATAATTATAGTAAATAATACTAATAGAGTAATAGTTACTAAGTTACATTTTTATGCATCACTTTTAAAGAATTAAATAGTGATTTTTTTCATATAGAAAGTGTAATTTTTGTATGTCATACTATGTAATACGATACTACGTATTACATATACATGTGAAATAATAGCTGAAAAATTAAAATAATAGTAAAAAACTAAAACGCCTTTTCACGTCTAGGCCTCGCCTAAACCCGCCTAGGCTTCAAAGGCTTCGGGCTTGGTCGTGCCGCCTCGGCACGCCTCACGCCTTTTAGAACATTGGTTTTCTACCGTTATTCTAAAAGGAAAATAAGATTTTATTGTGTTCCTAATTTATCCTTCCTACACACGTAGTAAACTGTCTGCCCCGAAAATCTCTCTACCAGAGTTTTCTAAGTAGAGCCGAATTCTGCAAAACTTCTTCTGATCTTGATGAACTATCACGTATTCCCGATGTTTTCTCCTTCTTAATATATCTCAGGTAAACCTCTTAGTATTAGTGCTCTTCCAGAACAACAGGATAAGAAGTAAAAGAACTTTCCATTAATACTGTAGCAGGCCCTAAAAATGTTTGACTACAATTTTATGAACTGATTGCACTCACACAGCACACGGTTTCTACAAACAACTACGGAGTATTAGTTAATAACTACACACACAAAAATCATGATTCATGACTACAATTCACTTACCTGAAACAAAGGCATACTACTCAGTAGTCACTATAGGTACTGCTTTGTTGCATCTTCTACATACAAGTGTTAAGAGACATACAATGACTAGCTACACGCTGAACCAAACACATTCTTAATATACTTAAAGTGACTTCATAAATCTTGACCCGTAGAAGTGACTTTGTAAACTGTAATCGTGACTATAACTCACTTTACACTTAAGTTAATACATACTCCGTATAATTAGGAAAATTGTACCTGAAACACTCTACACTTCGCAGTTTCTGAAAAAGTGCAACAGTACTGAATCTATATGAAACAACTGACCCAAACTGACTAATTTGTTAGACCCACCAGATCAAGAAGAGCTCCCGGGATGGGGAGGAACAATAAGAAGTGCAACAGTACTGACTCTATATCAAACAGATTCTAACAATTAAAGATGAACTGATCCAAACAGACGAATTTGTTAGACCCACCCAACAATTGCACACAAGGTACAGATGCTTGGCAATTGTGCTTATTCTAGTTTGAAATTTAGAATTCATTAATAGTATTAGGCCGGATCAGATGAATACATGAATGATTGCTCTTTTAGTGCCAGAACAAATCTTTAAAACTGTATTTTTCTGCCCTGATAATTATGCTCCTCCAAGCTACCCATTGCTTGTCCGACATCCTCAATCAATTAGAATTATTTGCAGAACAAACGACCAATTCCACATGTTGTCAAATTGAACTAACGATTTATGGTCATGTGCGATAAGAGGCGTATGCGCCTAAAGCCGTATGAAAACCTGCTATTTTTTGCCCAGTGATCGATGAATTGAAATAATGATTTCAATAATTGAAAAAACTTACCCCAATCCTCTCGTATCAGTGCCTCTGCTCTGCTGTTCTGTAACCGTCGAAACTCCTCCCACCGCTCCCACACTCCCAGGCAACGCACGCTCTGTCTGGCTAATTGAGGATGTCTGTCAAGCAAGTATCGCAGGTTAGGTCTGGAAGGTTGTATTTACTTTTCCGGCTGTATTGACTGAAGTTAATATAGAGTATCATTGTAACTATTTTTTCATATAATTTTTTGTTTTATTTATTAATAAAAAACTATTTCTAAGATAATTTTTTCATGATTCATGAATCAGCAGAATAAGCCAATACAACCACATCAGTCAGAACTTCATAAATTTCAGCACAATCAACCAATACAGCCAATTTTAGTGTTACCAAATGACCTCTAGATCGTATTTTTAGAAACAAAAAATTTAGGAAAAATTGATAGTAATAATCCCAACTATTGGCGGTCCGCTCATAATAATCTCAACTATTGATTATTCCAGAATAATCCCATCTTTAGGGACCTTCCGCCAATAATGGTCCATATGAATAAATTCTTGTAATTTCTAAAGCGGATGAGATGAGATATAACAAATAATTCCTTTAAATACTCTCAACTTTTAATTTTTACGCTTAATTTCTATTTAAAATTCACTTTTTATAGAGGTAATATCTAGTCATGGACCATTATTGGCGGACAGTCTATATAGTTGAGATTATACAAAAATAATTAATAGTTGAGATTATTTTTCAGCGGACCGGCAATAGTTGTGATTATTATTTTCAATTTTTCCAAAAAATTATCACTCCAACTTTATCGTTTCCATTTTTAAAACAAAAACAAAATATATAGAGCTTCTTTGGTAACACTAAATTGATTGAATCAATATTGACTGATTCTGTTGAAATATATGAAATTCTGACAGAAGTGACTGTATTGTATGATTTTGCTGATTTATGAAAAAAAATTTGAAATATACTACGTATTTTATTAATAAAATAAAGAAAAAATTATATGAAAAAATAGCTAAAATGATCATACAGTAACTTCAGCTAATACAGTCAGATAAGGTACTTCAACTTTACTTTTTCTTATTATAACACAATTCAGCGCACGGAATAAAAGTTGTGAGTTTAATTAAAAAGTTTGATTCGTAAGTCTGATATATAAGCCGAAAACGGAGTTGTGAAACAGGCTCATAATGACTATATTTCCAGATGTCATAATGTCATGAAATGTTTTAGAAAAGGACAGTGGTATTTCCAAATGGGAATAAATATCAAATTAGGTGGTATGGTTACATGTTCATTTCATATTTGATACTAAGGTTTCAAATCTTAATCTTAAAATCTTATACTACATAATAGTCAATGAGAGTTAGGGTATCTTAGCAATGAAAAAAATGTTGGTATACAAGTTGTTCGAACTAATTAATGCTAGAAGCTATAGACTTATTTGAGATGCTACTCACTGTAACATCTCAATAAAGATCTTTTGTTTTTATAAAAGCTCTTAAAAAATGACATGTCAAACATACATCTAAAAATATAACTTTTAAGCAAAATTATTTGTAGGGATTAAAACAAAATGTACATTTCTAAAGACTAAAAGCATATTTAAAACCCTTTAAATTATTTATATTTGTTCTATTGTATTTAAATATGGTCTGGTTTGAGAGTGAAAGTAAATCTATTAAAAATGCCACACTATCCGTAGAATGTGAAATTTAAATATAAATGCCGTTCTAGGAAATAAGATTTTTACAGGTGCAGTACAAAGTACCATTGGTTGGGAGAATTTTCACACGCTAACAATTGATTGGGAGAATTTTCACTCATATGTAGTGCTTTTAGGTATTAGAAGAGAAACTTGCTAACACTTGAGCGGGGGAATTGAGCTGGAGATTTTCTCTCTTATATGTTTTTAGATATTAGAAGAGAAGTTTGCTAACAATTGAGCGTAATTACTTTCTCTCTCATATGCAGTTCTTTTAATTAATTATAAGATAAGATAAGTTAACGAACAATTAAGCGAGTTAAACTTATCTCTCATATGTAGTCTTTTAGATATAGGAAGATACACTCGCTAACAATGGAGTGGAATAACTTTCGCTCTCATATGTAGTTCTTTTAAGTAAAAGATAATTTGTCTAACAATTGAGCGGAAGAATTTTCTTTCGCATATGTAGTGATTTTAGATATAAGAAGGTAGTAAGATAATCCGCCCAACAATTGAGCGGGTGAATTTTCTCTCTCATGCAGTGTTTTTTGGTATAAGAAGATAAACTTGCTAATAATTGAGCTGAGAAATTAATCTCTCTCTCTCATATGTAATACTTTTAGGTAGTACAGAAGATAGAAGATAAACTTACTAACAATTGAACATAGAATTTTCTCACTTATACGTAATGCTTTTAGGTAAAAGAAGATAATCTAGCTAACAATTGAACAGGAGAATTTTCTCTAATATGTACGGAGTAATTATTTACGTATAAGATAAGCCGGCTAACAATTGAGAAGAATAATCTTCTCTCTCATATATTAGTACTAATTTAACTAATGAGTAGGAATTTCCTTATTTAACTAATATTTGTCAATTTTAATATTTATTGTATTCACTTAAAATTTGTGTCACTCACTCATTGTACTCACTTTTTTAAAATAGTATTTAATTTTAAAATTAATTTAATCACGAAAATTTATAAGCATGCAACAAATTCTAATGAGTGGTATCAATAAATTTTTCCTAATATAGTCTTCATTTAATGTTTATTGTACGAGCTTATACTTTATGGAATTAACAAATTGTACTCTTATTTTTTGAAAATTTAAAATCCTAAAAAGTTTTTTTAAGATCTTATTAGACCATGAATAAAAATATATGTACCAACGACTCTTTCCCGTGCGTATGCACGGTACTATTGTGAAATAATGGAAAAGGTTCCCCAATAGGGTACCTGGCAGATATATTTATACTAATATATGTTTCCAAAGATACAAAGGATTTCTAATTTAATATTAGGCTATTACACCCCTCAAACTGTGCGGGAGATACAACACGCAGGTTGTCCTTTAAAAAATGAAATTGTTGAGTAGAGAGACTTTTAGTAAAAATATCTGCCAGCTGAAGACTGGTAGGAACATATTTAACCACAAGATCATCACCATGAGCCACACGTTCACGAACAAAGTGATAATCTATCTGGATATGCTTACTTCTAGCATGTTGAACAGGATTGGCCGTCAAGTAGGAAGCAGAGATGTTGTCACAGAACAAACGAACTGGTGCCGTGACTGGAAAGCCTAGCTCAAACAAGATGGACCTAATATGTAATGTATCCTGCACCGTGTAGGCAATGGCATGATACTCTGCTTCTGTAGAAGATTTGGACACAGTAAGCTGCTTCTTTGACTTCCAAGATACAAGATTGGGTCCAAGAAATATAACATATCCGGTGGTGGAACGAGAGGTATCGGACATCCAGCCCAATCTGCATCTGAGTATGCCACAATGTAAGTCGCCTTAGGTGTAGGCTGAAGCCATAGACCATGATCAATGGTGCCCTGCAAATATCTAAAAATCCTCTTGACAGCAAAAAGGTGAGTAGTGCGTGGAGCATGCATAAACTAAGAAACTAGATGCACGACATAAGTAATATCAGGTCTTGTCAAAGTTAAATACTGTAATGCACCTACCATACTACGATACTCTGTCGCATCGGCAAGGAGCTCGCCATCAGTGAGTGATAAGGAAGTACGAGACGCAAGGGGAGTACGAACTGACTTGACAGTGTATAAATGAAAACGAGACAAAAGATAAGATACATATTTATGCTGAGAGAGAAATAGTCCTTTGCTATTGCGAATGGCCTGAATGCCAAGGAAATAATGAAGGTCACCCAAATCTTTCATGGCAAAATGGTGAGCAATAAGATGAATGAACTGAGTGACAACATGCGAGGAATTGCCAGTAATAATAATGTCATCCACATATAATAGCAAATAAATAATCGAAGGACCATGTCGGTAAATAAATAGAGAATTCACTAGTGGAAAATTTACATTCTATGTCGGTTAAAACTGACTTTTAATGTCGGTTCTGACCCGACATAGTATCCAGGGATATAAAAAGTAGGGCACTTTTCGTATGGGGCGAAGACCCGTTACCAAAAGTTTTCCGTATCAGTTCGTAACTTCAGCATACTAACCGTTATGAAAAGTTATCCCAATGACCCAATGGAGAGCAACTTTGATATCGGCTATAATTGAACCGTCATGAAATTCAAATTTTGACACTGCGATGCAGAATTACTTCTCCACAGTTTGGTTAAATGTCCTTTAATCAACTTATTATTTATATAGGAATTAATCAAATATAAAAGGAAAACACAATATTTAAGAGAATCATGACAACAACATATTATTGATCTTACTCAGAAAAGATACAATATTCTTACATAATATCACACTTCATCCCAACAATTACTTACAAAAGTTACATATCACTTTAACATACTGCTTTAATAACATTCAATAAAAAGCTATAAAATCAAGTAATTGAGTCGCCGAAATTCATGAGTGACAAAATGGGTCTTGATCATTGAATACCTACAAGTTAAATAGCAGAAGTAAGCACAACTAAACAATATAAAAGTGCAAGAACAAGTAAATAAACTAGAGCAACTAAAAATGTAAACATAACAACTGAAACAACTGAAACATAATACATTTCATCACCTTCTAAGAATTAGAAGACCCTATGTAACAATCCTATGTCTGATAACACTGATATCTTCCCTTTATAAGCACCATCACGAAATCTTTTGTATTCATTTTGTCTTAGAAAAAGAATACGAAAATTTACCGGAAGACATAAAACACCACTTTCATATTAATATGGAAAAAATTCCAACTGGGGAAATAAAATAATCCTCATTGATTATATTCAAACCAATAGCTATTCATAGACTGCTCATGCATTATATGCAAACCACCACCATAGCACACAGGGAAGAGATGAGTAGATGATTATATATAACTGGTACTGAACAATATATAAATTATAAAAATTTATACTACGTATCACTTAGAGTTAAATATAATCAAATATGCTTACCAAATGGTTGTCACGGTGGTAAGTCGAGTCGCGGCGCCAGCTGACCGC